CGTCAGGGCGCAAATGCCTGGGGATCACCAATAGCCACGGTTGCCCCACTGGGTCGAAATTCCGCTTGTAAAGAGCTCCATTGATTATTTTGAAGCGGTTTTGATCGTTCTTCAAACATTCCTCCGATATTCTCACAATTACCGGATCTTTCCGCTGTTCCGCGACGATATCAGTTAAAGCAGCTAATGTTGGTATGTCATCTTCGGATTCCTCTGGGTTATTCACTTCGATTGGATTGTGTGAGAGACAATCGGCATCTTGATGTTTTCTGCCGTTTTTATATACCACGTTCACATTGTACTCCTGAAGTCTTAAGGCCCACCTGGCCAGTCTTCCCGATGGGTCCTTCAGGCCCGAAAGCCAACAGAGCGAGTGATGATCCGTCACAATTGTAAACGAGCGCCCAAATAGGTATGGATGGAACTTGCCGATCGCCCAAATCGCAGCAAGACACTCCCGCTCTGTTGTTGAATTTTTTTTTCAGCTGTTGACAGCGTTCTTGATGCATATCCAATCGGGTTTTCACTTCTTCCCTGGACCTGGACCAAATCCGCACCAATTCCAAACCCACTGGCGTCGGTGTGCAATTCGGTCGCATACTTTTCGTCAAAGTGGGCCAAAACGGGTTCCGACGCGAGTGCCAGCTTCAATGATTCATAGGCCTGCCGTTGATCTGGTCCCCATTCGAATCTGGTGTCCTTTCTCAACAACCTGTGTAGTGGTTCAGCTTTTTGAGCAAAATTCTTAATGAAACGACGATAATATGAGCACATTCCAATGAAACTTCTTACATCAGTGAGGGATTTGGGAGTAGGGAATTTGGACATAGCATCAACTTTATCCGGGTCGGGGTGCACGCCCTCTCCATCCACCAGATGCCCAAAAATGCTTAGTCGTTTTGTTCCGAACAAGCACTTGTCTGGATTTAACACAAGTCCACCCTTTGAGAGACACCTGAGAACTAATTCAAGGCGTCGAACATGTTCGTCAAAGGTGGGTGAAAACACAATAATATCATCCAGATAGCAAAGACACATTGACCACTTCAACCCCCTCAGCAAGGTATCCATCATTCTTTCAAATGTCGCTGGGGCGTTACACAACCCGAAAGACATAACTTTGAACTCGTACAATCCGTCGGGTGTAATAAAGGCGGTCTTCTCGCGATGTGCCTCATCCACCTCAATCTGCCAGTAACCAGAACGGAGGTCCATGGAAGAATAATAACTCGCCCCTCTTAAGCAATCGAGTGTATCGTCAATCCTTGGTAGTGGATATACATCCTTTTTTTTTATTTTATTCAGGTGTCTGTAATCGACACAGAAACGCCAACTACCATTTTTCTTTTTCACCAATACCACAGGAGAGGACCAAGGACTTTCGGAAAGCTGAACTATACCTCCTTTCAACATTTTGTCGACCTCATTCTGAATGGTTTGACGCTCGACCTGCGACACTCGATATGGACGGCGTTTTATCTTGTGCTTGGCTGTGCTCGTCAGATTAGACGGAAACTTATTAAATTCAAATAAGCCGCTGAAACTCCCAAGTATTGAACATATCCTGGTCCTTTCAAGCATGGATAGATCAGGGCTTATCATCGAGGCAATGTTTGGAGAGTTTTCTTGTCCAAGAATCCCCTGCCGATTGGTGTCCGAAGCATCACCGATGACTGCCAGGTGACCCTCTTCCAGTACTTGTATCTCTCCAATACACATTCCTTTGGGGACAGTTCGATCACATGTGCCGATGTTGGTTATCCAAATTCTCCCTTTTCCATGCTGGACAGCGAAGATCGAGGCGGGAACCATCAGATCACGTTCCAGAAAGAGGATCTTCGAAGGCTCCATTACGATATCACTCACACCGAGTATAGCTTCGCTGATTACGTTTATCTGCTTGGTCGATCCAGCGGGGATTATAAAGCTATCGTCGGCGGCCACAGTTTGGAATATGCCCGAAGAATCCTCTGGTAGTTCTGCTTTTTCTAACAGAATCTCGGCGCTACCACAATCGATTATAGCCCTTGACGCCTCCAGGAAGTCCCACCTGAGAATGATGTCGTGGCTACAACTTGGTAAAACGACGAATTCAAACGGCTGTACCAATCCGTTTATTTCTAAACGTAAAGTACATCGGCCCCTGGAAACGATATATTTCCCGTCGGCAACTCTAAGTGTCATGCCAGCGTCACTGAACATAGTCTTTTTGTGTTGTTGTCTAAAGTGGTCCGAAATAACCGAAAACGAAGCGCCGCTTTCGACAAGGGCAGGAAAAGTTTTATCGTCAATAGTAACGTCAACTATATTCTGTGATAGTTTAGCGGCTATGAGCGGCGGAGGATTTATAATCTCCTCAGCGACCTTACCTCCAGCGAAGGGCGCTTGCTCTAGTTTTCCTCACGATAAGGTGATCGGCCAGATCGTCGGCTTGGCGATATCGAGGGGCGACGTTCAGCTGGGGATCGGCCACGACCTGGATAGGGCGACGGGCTTCGATAACTTGCGCGGCCTGGGGTTTCATTGCTATTATAGATCGTTCGCGGGCCGTTCTGGACAGGGTGATATCTCCCCGGTGGCTGTCGATGCACCATCCCTCGCCGCTCTCGGCAGTACCTGGCGACGTGACCCGGGCGTCCGCATTGGAAACAAACGGGAATATTATCCACCGTCCTCCATTCGTCAGTCTTTCTTCGGGTAGTTGTCAGCCTTGTAGGATTTTGCTGCTGGTAATACGATGGTGGTTTCGCCGGTCCTTCAAATTGGCAGCGTTGTTCTCGGTAGTATGGACCCTGCTCCGCAATTGGGGTCAGATTTCTCTCAACCTCTTCATGAATAATTTTCTTCAGGGAGTTCACCTCTGGCATTATAAACTCGGAATGTAGGGCACTTTTAATTTCTTCTCTTACGATTCGTCGAATCAGATCTTCCAGAGATGAGGAGCCCGGTTGCTCTATACTTGCGACGTTAGGGAGTCGCTCAAACCTTGGTTTCCCGATGCGTCGCTGCTTGCAAGCCTCTACTTTTCGGCACCGATCGACAAAGGCTTCAACAGTATCAATTTCATTTACCAAGATGACCTGATAGACATTCTCTACCACACCTTTCATTAGATGTGCCACTTTCTCTTCTTTAGTCATATCGGGATTCACTTGCCTACACAAGCTCAGAACGTCTTGGATATAGAATTCACAGGATTCTGTGCTCTTCTGAGCTCGATTCTGAAGGTTGTCCTTAGCGCGTCTAAGAAGGACACCGCTATTGTCGAATGTCCGGCTAAACATCTCCCTAAACATATCCCACGAATCTATTCCTTCTTCGTTGTTATCAATCCATTGGCCAGCGGTCCCTTCCAAAAAGAACGGTGCGTTCGCCAATTTCATTGTGGTATCCCAGCAGTTAGATTTCGCAATACGTTCGTAATCCTTCATCCATTTTCCACAATCCTCCATTCCATTGCCGCTAAACACAGTTGGGTTTCTTGTCAAATGTTTGCAAGTATTTTAACACCTGTGTTAACTCCAGCCGACATTGATATTTTTCTGATTGGACTATTCTTTTCGTCGATATCAAAACGTGGCTCTAGGCCTACTAGGCGACGGTTTCTTCTGACAGAGGTATCCGTGATGGAATCGGTACCCAGCCTCCACCACTTGTCACGGTAAGAATCGCAAGCAACAGGCGAAGATAAATAGAAGAATAATCGTTTATTGCTGCCAACGAGCAGACTACTCAAATCAAAGAATACACGAATATATATACCAATAATTAATTCAATCTATGCAAAACAAACACAAATAAAATCTAAAACTTAATTATGTAAAACAATACAACAAATAACGTTACAACATAATGCAGTATTATAGAACCACCTGATACCAGTACAATTTCTCTTTTGTACTATTTTCACATAGTAAGAATTGTTTCTTGAGCTGTAAATTCATTGTGAATATAGAGAATATAGAAAAAATTCAAACAATGGATACTTCAATGATCCCTAGTTACGAAGTCTGTAACAATTAAATCCAGGATTTTATTAGACTGGGTTCAAATCCCTGGTCAATAAGTCAATTTTTTTTGGAAGCCACCGGACTGGCGACAAGAAACTTGGAGGTTTGAACTTCCTCGTCAACTCATCAATCATTCTACATATTTCTTAAGGCTGAAGTGACGTCTTCTAACTCTTCTGATTTTTCTTTCTTACAGAAGACAGTAAGAAGAGCTACAATCACAAGATTGGTTATGAAGGTGTCAACAGCATGATGGGAAGTAAACAGGATTCATTCAAGAAAACTGTTTTCCTCATGGAATTATCAATTATTTTCCTGGTGCCATATTTCTGGAGTGCTGTGAGATATATTCTACCTCTTATTCAAAGCCAAACTTACTGTTGACAAGTTGGAAGATCTGTTTAGATCCATGATAAGATGATAACACCATGATTGAATTGAAACTATGTGATGTCAAAACTAAGCGAAAAGAACAAATGG